CAAGAAAGGTAAAAAATCTACGTCGTGAGGAATTTTGCTATGTATCGAAAAGGTTTACAATATTTTTTTTTGTGAGAGACTGTATCAAAAAATATTAAAAAGAAATATCAAGTATCAATAACTGAGACAAAGATTGTTGATAACCGGGTTTTTTTCACAACAAATGCCAAAAGAATTTTTTTTAGCTGAGAAAATTCATTTTATAGATGATTCCTTCTCGATAGTTCCCTTTGTTATCGTCGAAAAGAGTTACTTTGTGATATCCTTCATTAAACATCCTGCCTCTCTTCAAAAACAGTGACAAGCGTTGTGTTCCAGAAAGGCCCTCTCAAGGCAAATGAAATTTAGTTTATTTTCCAACCGCAGCTCAGACCGTCTGGATCGCATGTGATTCCAAATTTGCTCGGACCGATTTTTTGTCTACTTCACCCCGTATAAATCACTTTACACTACAATTTCTTCGCATTTCATTCTTTCCCATCCCTACTAAGTACTTTTTTTACCAAATATCATTGGGCTTCATTAGGACTTTTTATCAATTTTTTTTCATTTTCGCCCAATATTATGATGCTAAAAATTGTATTTGAATCTTACGATGACGTCACGAGCCATCTGGTGGACGCAGAGATTTGTACCAGAATAGCAACGATTTTCTACAGGCACCGACGAGACGTGCAAAAACTCTTCGCAGGGAATATGCTCAGAGAATTCCGCCACAGTTAGGTAGGGATTTTTGAATAACCCCCGAGGTGACAAAAGCCTCAGTAGCGACATCCAATCATTTTACGATGGTTTGTTTCTTCAAGTCAGCCCCATTCCGAGTCACCTCATCTTCCACGAACTTCCTCCGTCCGACAAACAACACTGCATCACTGCCAAAACGTTAGGGGGAATTTTCGAATATTTTTAAATGACGGGGAAAAGGTTCACTGACGCTTGAAAATCGGCTTTTTTCTGCATTTGAGGCGGGGGAAAATAATGATTGATTGGGACGCAAGGTGAAACACAACGCCCTGAGGTAGACGCGTCTCTTGTGTTTTGAGGCGTTGAGCGGCTATATATAGTTGGAAGCGTAGTTCCCGGGGCACGCGCCGACTGTAAATTAATTCTCTGACTTTTTGTGTTGCAAGTAAGGCCACGGGTATGTATGTATGTCCACAAACCTGTGGCTTTTCGGAGACTATATCATAGGAATCATGTTTGTGGATTAGGTCATTCTTTGGAGAATGAATAGTCTTTGAAAGAAACAATCTCGAGTGGCCTTCACTGCCGGAAATTTCGCAGCCTGCGGAATAAAAATATCTGACATTTTTCCCTAAAACTTCGCGTTTTCGATAGTAATATTGAAATTCAATAAGAGATGGGTGTCTGATAATTGGGCGGTTATTTGAAAAATAACCTGTTTCAAGGAGTCATCTCAGAAGGCTATTTTCGTAGGCCATGAAGTGTCGTATAAAAAAGATCATCACATTTTATAATAATGTCACTTACCACCCAAATTTTACAGTGAAGGAAAAAAACATTCGTCCAATCAATATATGAAATATAATCTTTAAGTTGCGTTCATTAACTGGGAATTATCTGGGAAATAAACAATTACAAGAAAAAAATGTTAATGATATTTACTTATAAAAAAACTTATTTGACAATTTTCTCTCATGTTGCTCATTTCATGAATAATAATGAGAAAAGCTAAATTTATACATTGAAATTCAGTAATGAAGTTTGAAGTCTGCATGATTATTTATGAAATGAATAATTTTATATTTCCACTGACTTCTATCGTATTTCAACATTTCATCAGAAGATTAGTCATTCCCAGAATCATTCTACAAAAATCATTCCGGTGTCAAACCGGCAAAAAATAATTATCCTCTCGCGATGCAATGACCAAGCAACAACACAAATGTCTTTTTCCTCATCTTTTTCCTCAAGCATTACACCCGATGAGAAACGTCCCTACTCATCTCCACACTACTTCGGTGTTGAAATCGCGATGCCCGTCATTCTTTTAATTGTACAATTGCTATAATATTACCAACCATTACGCCATTGAATACATTTAAATAGACAAAGTATTGTTCTCCTCCCTACCTCAGTGTTTCTCATTCAATAACACAACGTTTCAGTGACAAATCCAGCGATGAACATGGCCAGGTTTATTTTTGACCAACGGTTGGGAATAATATCGGAAGAAGAGCCTGGCATTCAGTGAGCGTACAATTGAACAATTGAGAGCAATCATAACAATTCCATTGGTTGTGATTAGTCAACAAAATAACAAATACTGAATCATACCATTCTTTTCTTCTGTTTGAAATGTGAAATCTTGAAGCAAGAAACATTTTCCTTGAAGTCGATTGTTGGATTTCGGGGTTTTCCCCGAGATCAAAATTCACTCTCCCAAGTTCTTTTATGTTAAGGAAAGGTTTATTGCTTTATATTGCTATGGGGTCTTCCCTGAGAGTGTAAAATGGGGAAAAGTCCTCTCAGGACTTTTACTGATGGGTTTTTCCCAAATGTGGGTTTTTCTCACAAGTACAGCTGGCAACCAGGCGGGGTCGGAGGAAAAGACCGAGCATTTGCTTCAGGGGGTGGACATTATATTGCCCTCCTGGGTCTATATTAACCCTGGGCCTCACTAGCAATCATCTTTAGTCTCTCGTAGATATTCATAGTGTCAACTACCTCCTGACTGTGTAGAGTCTTAGAGATTTTTCAATTAAACTGTTCACATAGATAAAAAGTGTTTCTTATTTTTAAACCCCATAATCCAATATCGATTTATTTAGTTTGAAAATCACCGAGAATAGATCGAGGAATATTGCATTGGATGATGAGTATTTAGGTGAAATATTTATCACCAGAGGAAGTATTAGATGGTCGAAAATGGGAAAGGGAAAAGGTGGTATAGTACAATTCTTACAATTTATTCTCCCCATTGAGTCGTTTATTGAACATAATGTGTAATTTCATAAAATGGAAAAATTCAATTTTATGAATTTCCAAGATGAATGAGGAATTTCTTGAGCTGCTATTCAAAGTTTAAAATTTTTCTAACAGCGTACGCTAACTATTATGAGTCTTTCTTACAAACCCTCTTCCTTCTGTACTGTTTCAAAGCATTGATTACAAACATTTCATCCCTTTTACCGAATTACGCAGCATCTACCACAAGTTGCTATTTATTGCAAATATTTTATGTTGTAATTTTCCTGGTCCAAATATATGTAAGTTCATCTGTAGTGAATGATTCCAAACCCGAATGTATCTGCTGCAATGAAAATATTGCTCGAGTCAAGAATGTATATTTCTGCTAAGAGTAAATTTTTCCCTCAGTTATTCAATTTCCATTGAAATATCTCGAGCCAAAGAAGATGTTTTTGACAAATTCGTGGAAGTGATATTCTCACCCATTTTTTTTTTAGTGCCAAGGTACAAGGGAGAGAGGGGGGCATCCTAAAAATCCAAGGAAATAACACATGTGACTAGCAGAGAATCTCAGGTTTGTATTCCCTTGAACAAAATTTCCTGAAAACCCACATACATAAAGGTCTCGTCTCCCAACACTGTCCCCTTGATTTTGTGGGTGTGTCTGCAGGCCAGATGTCTCTTGTATTCGACTTTATGCTTTTAAAATCCGAAAGGTCCCCCCTCCCCTGATCTTCAAGGGACAATAAAACTATCACGTGGAAGGTCTCGGGTCGAACGGACTGAGAGAAGTCAATGAAGAAATAAAGAGAGATGGAAAAATTTGAGTGGTTTTTTTTATGCTAATCGAAGGGATAAATTTATTCGGACTGAACCTCTCAAGACGAATTTTTAATCTGATTTAAAAACATGGATTTAGGGAGATGATGATCGCTATAGTTTCATCCTTGAGTGCACGATAAAAATTTGAAAACACATGGATGGTCTGCATTCTCTGATTGGAACTTTCTGTTATGGTATATTCATTGCCAAAAGTATGATCAAGATGCAGAATGATCTAAAATTTGACGTTTTAAAAAAAACAATTTTTCAAGTAACCATTTCCCCAACAAAAAAAGTTCAAAAGTTTAAAAAATATGTTTATTACTCAAATTCTTGTATTTTCTACGAGACATGCACGAAAAAATTACATAGTGAAACTATAAAAAAAGGTGCTTTGGTTGGACAATTCTATTGGACCTCTATTGACAATTCTTTCAGTATTCTCACTGAATTCCCGGATGAGGCTGATAAGGAAGTTATATGAGTCGAGGAGGAACTCGAAATTATACATTCAAACATCAAATATCTCGAACCAAAAAATCGTAAATGGTACTGAAAAACTATGTTTCATGATCTTATGTATGAAGAAAAAAATCTGTTGAAACCTGCTTCTGAATTTAAATCCTACTCGTACACTGTATTGGCTTTTCAGATTTTTATGTCGCGCCGTGCAATAAGTCGAGTTTATCGCACGCTGCGCTCCGCGCAGCCTGCTCAAAACTCGAATTGTGCACGACTTGACATAAAATATTATAGAGCACTCGGTAATAAATTTCGTTTTCAATGAATGTGTAGTTTACAGGCCGAGCCGAAGGCGAGGTCTGTACACACATTCGTTGAAAACGAAATTTGTGCCCTTGTACTCTAATGTACTATTTTTCACCACTACTCTAGTGGAAAATACAAAAACTCTAGTGAAACTTATATTTTTGTGGAATTTTCACCCGAAATATTGACGCTTTTACCAAACTTAATGCATTTTTCACTAGAATTTTGTCAAAAATTCTTTTAACTAAAAATTGCTTATCAAAATTCCGGGGCAATTTGTAGTACAATGGTATCGTATGTACGATATTTTTGTAAAATTTCAGGTAAAAACATTGAAATTTGTTGTAGACTTTTCGCAAAAATTCACAATAAGCCGCATCTAGTTTTTAGCATTCATTGCATCTTGATTAGAAAGAAGAAGCAATATTGCTAATTGAAAATATAATGTTAACTTGGGTTACTTATTAGCGTAAACTCACCCAAACGAACAACCCGTGACGTAGCCTCAACCCCGAGTAGTACAGTGATCAGAAAGATTGCTGGAATATTCGTCGCCATCCTGTCTGGTTCCTCTACACTCCACTAGTGATCAACTCAACACCGGCATGAGTGTAAACCTGCAAAACAATAGCAAGAATGTGTGAAAAATAAACCCCGTAATACGGTTTATTAACTTTCTATTTACTCAGAAGTGTTTCCAAACTTCTTTTTAATTTCATTTTTGCGAAAAAGAGTTTCGCGTTTCTTTCGCGCTGAGTGGAGTCCCCTTTCGCTCTTTGGCAATCCTCCAAGTGCCGAAAATGCACTCTTGAAGTTTTAGGGTTAGCGTTGAAATATTCGAGGGCAGTTGGATGTTTCGAGGCTCGATCCCTTCTGGTGGCTCAGGGGAAGGGATCATGAATTTCAAAGAGAGAACATGGAGATACACTCCACCGTGTTTACAATCGCCGTAGAATACAAAAATAGATGTTGTTGAGAGGGGAACACATTTAATTCTACCATCTTTGTGTTAAGTGCATTCCAGAGTGGAAAATTTTGTTTGTTATATACCTTTGTCAACTCGATTGATGAGTATGCCTATTTGTCGTGATTTTTTTCAGACGAGTGCAAAAGAGGTTTTCTGTTCTAGTTAGCGGTTGAGGTGTAAGTGCCTACCACTTTTGAACGCACATTCCATTATATGTCTTGGTTTTTATTATCTTTATCAGGATTCCAACATCTGGAATCGTTCACACGTAAATCTAGCTGTAACCGAGAGATGGGTTAAGAATATATGAAATCATTTTCTTGACATGAAAAAATGTTTGAAAATCTTTTTTGTAGTCCATAACATTTTCTACAAAATCAATTTTTTTTTTACGGCCTCGGAGTCCCTTTTTGGATCCCATTCGGCACTCTATCCAACCCTATGCATGCGGCTGTGGATTCTACACTGTACCGCATTCGCACTCCTATAGAACATAGAAGTAGCATGGAGAAACCACAGGAAACCAATGCCGGTACAGGCGGTTCCTCTATTAGCAACCTCCCGCTCGTCGGGGCCTTCCGTTGAAAAATTCGGTTCCACGGGGAATCGAACTCACACCTTTCGCACACTAGACTTGCGTTTAATCCACTCGGCCACCGACGTCGGTACAAAATTATTTTTACAATGAATCTTTGTAAACTTCTTTAGTCTCAAAATATTTAACAAATGAGTGAATAATGTACTCTGCATTTGAGGAAATTTTTTTAAAGCACTCGACTAGTGAATTGATAAAATTGTTCAGATGACTAATGTTTTTACAACTCTCGATTCGATCAAACTTGGAAGCTTCCAGTTTCAGGCATTAAAATCTCTTGCATGGATTCTAAAAGAAAACAGACCACATGTCATATTGAGGATAAAAGTCGGGAAAAGTGTCGGCTTCTTTTAAATTCCCAGCACCTGTTGTATCCCATTTTTCAGGGCTTTAGTGGTTTGATGGGAGTCGTTGTTGTCATCATTTCAAGAATTTTATGCAGATGCCTTCGACATAAACGCAATAATGTTTTTCATTACTCTTCGATTCAATAATTGACAAAATCTTGATTGTTATTTGAAAAAAGTACAAGTTTTGAATTGGAGGACCATCCAAATGGCCGGAATAATCTAATCCTAATTCCTTGTCCCTCGGGAAGAACGAGAATACAAGGGAAAGGGCCACACGGAGAAGATCGACTAATTCGACGTTCAGGTAGATCAGGTCGAGAATTCCATAACTCTCCCTAACATCAATAATCATCTGTAATTTCGAGGTTTGTACACGCAGACACTTAATTGCACGTTTCTTCGCCATAGTTTAGTGGCTCGAAAAGGAATTGTGTTGTGTGTTTGGAGTGGATGCTGATTGGGAATTTATGTTGGATGTAGCGGGAGGGATCATAATGCATTATGCAATTCTTCGTACTATGGACGTGCGTACACGGAAGAGCTGCTGTTTCCGGTTCGACTCGCAATTACGCCTACTGCGTTGAATTTATTCACACGTGGATTATTGCCAATTTCAAAGCTTTCAAGGCTTTTGGATAATCATTACATCTATCTCGTTCTGAATATCCGTTATTAACAAGATGTGTAACGCATTTTGTCGTCAATTTGATTGAGAATTAATTATATGAATGACTATTATTAATATTTCTTTATGAAAAATGCTATTCAATTAAGTGATTATTCAATTTCATTTGGCTTATTGGTCTAAGTGATAACAATATCTTAATCTGTGTGAAACAAATTCAATGTGAACAGCAACGAATAAATGATTTTGAACAACTTCTCCAATCCTTTCTACAGAAGTGGGTTTTTATTTTAACAGGCAATAACTCAAGATCGGCGATGTAAAATTGAACGATTTTTTCTCGTTTTATGCGAGTCATTCGAATCGTACAATTTAATCAGATGATATTGATAATTTAAGAAGGTTCATTTTACCTCACCTTTTATTAGATAGGAACAAAATTTCAAAGGTCATCCGAACATGTGTTCCCTTCCATAAATTATGAGTGATTGGTTTGTTTTTTTTTCTCTAGTTTACGACTTCAACGATATTTTTTACAAGCTGGCCAATGTCGGGGGATGTCATGAGGAGCCGATTGAGAGCAACTTCAGGATCTAGCTCTAAATTACTGTTTTATAGCTCCAATAGACCACATGGCTGCGCCGGTGCACCTCAAACACATCGAAATTGGAATCCTTTGAACCCATCGTCCTGTTCTGTTCGCCTTCAAAGGATAGTCCATAATAAAATGACATGAACAAGCAGCACCGACGATACCCCAAGCATATAGAACGCGGTTGTAACGTGTTCCCTCTTATATTTTTCCGTTTACTTGGAAACTCAAGTCGACACTTTCATGTGTTAACATGCTCGTAAAATCATCAAGCCATTTTTTATTCCACAGAATTTCAATTAATTCCGTTTTCTCGTTAGGGGCCTAAACTTAACGATAATTACGTGAAAGTCATTTCAATTCCCAACGGAATCGGACGGATTATTTGACCACGGAGAGTTTTTTTAGATAAGGAGAGAAAGAATTCTTTTCTAGACAGAAATTTCAACTTTGAAGAAAATTTCTCTCTAGAACAATTTGAAACTCGATCTTCAGATAAAATTTAGAACTTGATGAAAAAGCCTGATTTAATATTTAAATCAGGCAATACAATCATTTCATTAAAGTATTTTTATAACTGATAATGCAACATTTTTAAAATACAGACAGATTTCATAATTTTCTGCTTAGATCAATACACTGATAGAAGAATTCGGTTAATGTTACCTAATGAATTCAGTTGAATGTTTTTTTCTGATCCGCTTGTATTAAAGATATCCAAGTATCTTTTACAGTTTGGTACAGACCACACTATAGATTCAACTATATTCAATCATTAAATTTGTCAATCAAATTGCGTGGGAAAAATTTGAAAAAAATCATGAATATTCAGTATCATTCAAGTATCACTTTGCACAGAATTATTATTTTTTATACATTCGTTGTTTATAAATGAATAATTAAAATTGCTTAAACTTTCGGAAACCTTCTTTTTTTAGGCATGAAATCGATTTATGGTAAAATTCTGAATATGAATAAATTTGTTAGGATTCCGAACAAATGATTTTTATGGTAGAAACTTGATTGTTTATAAATTATTGATAGAAAAGGCTCATATTTTTCAAAAATTGCAACTTCTTAATTATTTTATCAATCTTCCTCCAAAAGTAAATTTTCTAAAATTTCTTTAGATTTTTATAATGTTTTCTAACAGTTCAATATCAAGTTTCAAATTCAGACCTGCAAAGTTTAAATAATAAAATCTTTGCAAAATGTCCTGAAACTTAGGGTCAAATGGGGCTCAAAGGAAAGCTATGAGCCTCGACTACAAAAGTAGAAAAGCATTTCACTGGAGAAAAAATAGCCAAAGTACTTGGATATCCTCAAATACATATTCGTTGGAGTTAACTGTAAATCTTGTTGATTCAATAAAATCTAATTTCCTACACAGTTGTAGGAACACAACGGTTTTGTTGACGCAAGCGGGTATTCGGTAATAGTTACCGAATCTCGATTGATAGAACACGCCATCTAGTTCATATCGACAGTTCAAAATCATCGCCTATAACGGTTTTCATTTACATGTCGCAGAGACGCTGATTATATTATATCCGGTTACTATTTTTATCAGAATAATGTAAATTTGAAAGTAAATTAATAAAAAATGAAGGATTTCTCAATGTGTGTTGATTTGATTGCTTTGTGTGGATTATTTTTCAACAGCCATAATCTTAAAGAATATGTTTCATGTGCTGGAATTTAATCCCTCTAAATAGCTCGTGTCTTGGTACGATACTATATATAGTCTACGTTTATTTTTAATATTATTAAAAATGGTGCTCACTATCAAATCATAGTTAATCATGAACGAACAACTCATTTTTCACATCAATTGACCATTCAGTAACTATTACCGAATGGTCCATTTGGATGAACAAGCCACCGCTCAACTTAATCGTTCGGTAACTATTAACGAATATTCAGTTGTTCTAATTCAACAGCACCATTCGGTAACAGTTCAAACATTTGAAGTTAATTGGAAAAGCTTCAAAATGAGCGCAGTTGAACTCAGTTAATTCAATTTTTAGAGCCATTATGACAAAATCAAATGTTTTTTTTCAATCTACAATTACTCGAAAACGTTATTTTTTTTTAATCTGAAATTTTAGGGGCAACTTCAGGACATAACTATCGATATTTTTTATCGAAGACAGAGAAAAAAGTGGATTAGCTTTAGAGACTAGTTTCTAGATTTTAGAAACTCCTATTCTTAAGCTTTATCCTTGGTGGGATCATAAAAAGTAACCAATGTAGGGATTGTTTTTAAGAACTAATATATTCTAAAATATTCTAAAATATTTTCTAAAACCAATGCTGAATTTTTCTTAATTTGAGAAAATTTGCAGATTAAACTAAAAAATTGCGGCCGAGGTATTTTAACAATGTTCAAGCGATGACGGAATGTAGGAGGTGAGGCGGAGGGGAATCTATTGTATTTCTGCAGAAAACCAATCCCTGAACACGAAAATTCGGTTGTCTTCAATTAAAT